AAACATTTACTAGGAGGCCATTTTTCTTGATGATATTTAGTTGCCTCTTCATCTAACTTTTCCTGTTTTTCAGGGGTTAAAGGATCATCAGAGTCCTTAGTTCTTTCCTTATCCAATGGATTATTAGATGTTAAATTGAGCTTTTGCTTAGAAGCTGTAACCGGGAATAAGCTATCTTGGGACCCATAAGTTGGTCCCTTCTTGTCTGACAGCAAGGGAGCTCTCTCTTGAGGATTATCACCCGTTACAGTAAATTCATTTACATTTAATGCCTTGCCTCAATGCACTTTAAATAGAAAAGGCAGAGACCGGCATATTAGCTCCTCCATGGCTTTGATACTATTGTCTTATGTTATTTTTTACCTGATTTCAAGTTTTTAAATTTAATGTTCCTTTATCAGAAACCATGGACTAACCTCTTGTACAAACAACAAAAACTCAGCCAACTGCGGCTTGCTAGTGTGTTAAAGAATGTCAATACGTAGACACCTATTCTTAGACGGGGAATTTTCCATTATTCTTCCTCCACTTAGGCTCTAAACTTCTCAAAAAGTTCAGACTATTAGTCCCCACTCTTAACCCGTCACTCTTGACGAGGGGTCTGCAGCACCCTAGGATGAAGGCCGAACTCCCCTGAAGGCAACAACCTTTATACTTTCCCTAATTCAGGCCCCGCATTGGCACCATTTTGCCAGAGACTTGCTCTAGTCGAGTTGTGGGTACCCGAAAAGGGAGAGGGAGGGTCGGCAAAAATAAAAAACACAGATGGAGACTTCAATGCATCATTATGCATGTTCTCTCTCTGCGGGTTGTCAGCGTGTTGCAGCTGCAAGGACTTGCAAACTCGACTGGAGCTGGTCTCCGGCACTCTATGCTCCTGGGTTGGAAGAAATGGATTAAAAACTTAAATATAAGACCTGAAACTATAAAACTTCTAAAAGAAAATATAGGGGAAACACTTCAGGAAGTAGGACTGGGTAAAGAGTTTATGAATATGACCCCACAGCATAGGCAACAAAAGAAAAAACAAATGGGATTATATCAAATTAAAAAGCTTCTGCCCAGTACAAGAAACAATGGAGGAAAAGAGTGGGAGAAAATATTTGTAAACATGTATCTGACAAAGGACTATTATCCAGAATATATAAGTAACTCAAACAGCTTAAACGTAGAATAACAAATAGTCTGATTTTTAGAATGGGCAAAGTAGCTGAATAGGCATTTCCAAAAGGAAGATATACAAATGGCCAAAGGTATAGGAGAAAATGCTAACATCACTCAGCATCTAGGAAGTGCAAATCAAAACCACATTGAAATATCACATTCCAGTTAGACTGGCTACTATCAGAAAAGCAGAGAATAACAAATGCTGGAGAGAATGTGGAGAAAGAGGAACCCTCCTATACTGTTGGTGGAACTGTGAATTGGTGTGGCCATTATCAAAAATCATGTGGAGGTTCCTCAAGCTACTACAGATAGAACTGCCATATGACTCAGCAATCCCACTGCTGGGTATATACTCAAAGGACTGGAAATAATCATGTAGAAGGGACACCTGTACTCCCATGTTTATTGCAGCCCTAATTTACAGTAGGCAAGAGTTGGAACCAACCTAAATTTCCATTATTGGATGGCTGGATAAGGAAAATGTGGTATATTTAAACAGTGGAATACTATGCCTTTAAAAAGAATGAAATTTTGCCATTCACAGAAACATGGATAAACTTAGAAAAAAATATGTTAAGTAAAATAAGCCAGACACAGGAAGAATTGCATGTCCTCACCTATATATGGCAGCTAAGAAAATAAACAATTAATTTTAAGGAAATTAAAGAAATGTACAACAGACGCAGTGTTGCGTTGAACCTCAAGAGTAGACAAAAACAGCTGAGGTTACTAGAGGGAGGAAATGCTCAGGAGGATGGTGGAAGGGAGGTATTTGTAAAGGGTCACAAAAATCGATCACACTGTATAATGAAGAATATACTAGTTGTCCTGATTTGAACATCACATATTGCACACATATTGATATCCAATGCTTTACCTCAAAGATATGTACAGTCATCTATGTTGCAATGAAAAAAATTTAATTAAGAAAGCTTTTTATTGAACCTTCACTTATTTCTTTAGTTCTCTTTATGTATATCCAGATTCTAACATATATCTTTTATCTTCTCTGTAAATTTTTTTTCGGGTTTTTTGTTTGTTTGTTTGTTTCACATTGCTTGCAATACAGGTGTACTGGCAACAAATTCTCTCAATTTTTGTTTGCCTGAGAAAGTCTTTATTTTTTCTTCTTTTTACAGGTTTATTTCATAGTGCACAGGACTCTAGGTTGTAGGTTTCTTTAATCAACCATTTGAATATTTCACTGTACTCTGTCCTTACATGGATTCTCAGGCGATGTTGGGTGCAATTCTTATCTTGTTTCTTTTTAGGAAAGATATTTTTTCTTCCCTCTGTCTTCACTCAGATTTTTCATTCTTTTTGATTTTCTGAAGTTTGAAAACTACATGCCTATATGTAGATTTTTGGCATTTATCTGGTTTTATGTTATCTGAACTACCTTGATCTTTGGTTTGGTGCCTGATATTAACTTGTGGAAGTTCTCAGACTTTATTGTTTTAAGTGTCTCTTCTGCTTTTTTTTTTTTTTTCCTCCATCTTTCTTCTGCTGGTTTTCTCATTACTCTGTGTTACAACTTTTGACATTGTCCAACACTCTTCAGATGTTTTGTTTTTTGTGTGTTTTTCTTGTGTGTGTATGCTTTTCAGTTCTTAATTTCTTTGACCTATCCTCAAACCTGGAGATTTTTTTTTTTTCTCAGCTATGTTCAGTCTACCAAGTTGGTGAGAGTTTGGTGCCAATATTCTCAAGGACCACAGTTTGATCCCTATCCTGGCCAGTTGCCTGCCTGCCGTGTGTCTGTTTAAAATCTATATAATTATTTAAAGGATCTTCGCTCATAGAACTATGAATATGTTGGATATATTTCTGTACTTGGTCTGTTTTGTATATTATATATGATGAATTATATTGGTAGACTTCTTAATACTGAGCTTTCCTTTAATTGTGTAATAAAATTAGAAAATTTCTTTTTGTTCTTCACATTCTGTTTATTTTCCTCTATCTCATGTTTAAAGATAAAGTGCTTCTGCAGACTCTGTCCTTGTTCTTTTGTTTTGTTTTGTTTTTACTTGGAATCTCTTAGGTTTGCTCACTCATTCTGATGGCTTCAGGTAACATTGAAGTTTTGATGTTTCTCTGCCTTGGACTGAATGTAACCCTAACTTGACCCCCACTGTAACAGTGTTAAGTTGGTGGGAAATCCTATTATGGTAATTGAGAGATGGGGCCTGAACTATGTGATTAGATTGTAGCACCATTCCATAATTAGTTAATAATGGTGGGCAGGGATGGGTTTCTGAGGGCTTTAAAAGAAGAACACATGAGAGGTTGACCTCTCTCTGCCCTGCCATTTTCTGCCATGTGAGACCCCTGGGTCACAGTCATCTCCATCAAGGCCTTCACCAGCTATGTTCCCTGGACTTTTGACTCTCCAGCTTTTAATTCTGCAAGCAGTAAATTTCATTTTCCTACAAATCACCCAGTTCCAGGTATTTTGTTTAAGCAACGGAAATGGACTAATACATTTCCAAATCTTTATCTTCAGCTTAGATCTCTCTCTTTAACTCTGGAATCATGTATCCAATTGCTATTTGGGCCCAACAGATATTTCAAGTATAATGTATTCAAGTCTGTTTTATTTTTGCCCGTTATATTTTTCTGTCATTCTTCAAACTACACTTTACTGTGTCAGTACCTAACTAGCTGTAATTATATATAGAACCTAAGAGTAAAACACTATTTTATTTTCTGCACAGGAATTTAATACCGCAGTGTCTTTTTACTTTTGTTTCTGTATTACTTTCCTGTTCTGTTTGCTTACTGCTCTGTTGTTTATTTTTTATTTTTTTCTTCTATCGGGTGGCCCATACAGGGATCTGAACCTGTGACTTTAATGTTACCAGCTGCATGCTCTCCCAAGTAAACTAGCTAACCAACCTTGCTTTGTGTTCTAATGCAGGTGGTCTTCCATCACCCTGTTTTCTTTGATGCTCTCAAAAGCTTTTTCCATTCTTCTGGTGGATGACTGTTAAATTGTGAATCTAGTGTGTAACTGATTTGTAGTTACAAAACCACATTATTTACACCCTGTGTTTACAAAGTGGCAGTGTTCACTCTCATGCAGACACAAGCGATCCTTTAAAATGTGCAAAGGAAATTTTGGAATGCCTTTGTATATGCTTTCAGTTTATAAGTAATTAAGAGACAGCAATTGCATATAATGTTTTACTGTTTGAAATAGACAAATATTGAAAGGCAGGATCATTCCATAATGTGTTTCTTTAATTGTGTATTTTTTATCTCTGCTCATGAGCATTCATCTAGACATGGTGCCATGTGTGGTTCCATTAACATGGGGTGTCTTCCTTTGCTCTTGTGACTGAAGTTTTGCTATTGCCTCATATTCATGAGAACATGTGGTTCACGTGGAAGAGCTTAACATCTTTGGCGTTTCAGTGAAGTGCAAACAGAATACAACATAGAATTATATTTTGTCTTTCTTACCCCATTCTCTATTGAACTTGTGTCTAAATTTGTTTATCAAACACACTGGTTCAGGTTATACTTATGTCTTCATACCTGATTATAAACTTCTTGGAGAAGCAGCATTTTATTCATACTTTTATCACTAGCAACAATGATGGTTCTTAACTATAAGGTAAGGTTTGTAATCATATTTTTAGTAATTAATATGTTATTACAGTGACGGGATATTCCTGCTGGGTTTTTTTTCCCTCTACTATATGGAGTACAGAAAAGCAGCACCTTATTTAACACATAAGACACTCACACTTGCAGAAGAGTGAACTTTGAGATTCATATTTTGTGACCCAGGGCTGGTTGCTTGAGTTGAGATCAATGTGCCATTACAGGAGTTGGTGTCATTTGAGGATGTGGCTGTGGACTTCACCTGGGAGGAGTGGCAGGAATTGAATGATGCTCAGAGGACATTGTACAGGGATGTGATGCTGGAGACCTATAGCAGCCTGGTGTCTTTGGGTGAGTGAAACACTCAAGTAACATTCAGGAGAAACATTTTGTTATTTTTTTTTATAAAAATAGTAATGGTTATAGGGTTTTATGCTATTTGTTAAGATTACATTTCATGAAAAACATGTCATCCCCATCTAACAAAAGTTCCAAATTGGCCTATTTATTGTATAATTTCTGGAGCTGAGCTCTTGTCATTCTTCTAAGGATCTGGCTTTGCAGTTTTATAAAGTCGTATGTTACTTCCCATTAACAGGGCACTGCATTAGTAAACCTGAGGTGATCCTCAAGTTGGAGAAAGGAGCCGAGCCATGGATGATAGAAGAAAACCCAAACCAGAGCCTCCCAGGTTAGTAAACACATCCTGGGCAAAAACGAGAATGAGTAAAAGCCAGCAGACCTTGGCTGTGTTCAGCTGGTTTGGGCAATTCTTCCACAGTTGCGTGAGCTAAGGCTGGTTCACCTTCTCACATCCAACACATGTATTATATAATTTCTTAGATAGACTCACACATATATATTTCCATATTTTATTTTACTGTTTTTAAAAAACTTCAGTGCATAATACTACAGCTTTTGTGAGCCATGAATTATCAAGTGAGAGTGTGTGTTCCAGAGTTTGGGGAGGTAATACAGGTTGATTTTAGAAGGAGTCAAAAACAACTTTTTCAAAGATGGTGGGCACAGCCTTGGTTACAGAACCAAATATTTTAGGAAAGGGGGTCTGGAGGGGTGGATTCAGTATTCTGTATAGTAATGGTATTGAGAAGCACAGGAATTTAGGTTAAATGAGTAGTTTGTGGGAGGCTCTGTTTAGGGTGGAAAAAAGGAGATTTTATTATTTGAAAAACTTCCACATGCCAATAGCTATTTTTTAGGGAAGAGTAAAAAGTATAGGGACATACATACAAAAATCTTAACCAGTCATTTTACTCCGTATGTGATGAAAAATTGGACATTCTGCACCTGAAAGTAGCCAATGAAGGAAAACGTAGCCATATTCAAAGCAGAAGAATGAGAAAAAGAGCTGCAGGAGATAACCACTATTATAAAAATAAAATGGAGTAAAAACTGTAAACAAATGGAAGGTGATAAGTAATTTTTTGAAATCTACAGTCAGGGAGAAGGTAAAAATCAAATATTACATCATGGTTTAAAAAAGAAAAAAGAGAATAAAGAAGCAAAGAACAACAATGTGACATAATGTTAGAAAGTATATTAATAAGGGCCGGCCCATGGCTCACTCGGGAGAGTGCGGTGCTGATAATACCAAGGCCATGGGTTCGGATCCCATATAGGGATGGCCGGTTAGCTCACTGGGTGAGCGTGGTGCTGACAACACCACGTCAGGGGTTAAGATCCCCTTACCGGTCATCTTTTAAAGAAAAAAAAAAGAAAAAGAAAGAAAGTATATTAATATAACATAACATTATGTCAGAATGAGGAAAACCCATATACTCCTGAAACCAATATCCATTATTGATTTTTAAAAAATCTTTTATTACTAGGATTGGGAGAAAGTTCTCTACCTTTACATGACCATGCAAAAAATATGCTTATGTGTGGTTCATGGATATGGGTTGTTTTTTGTTTGTTTGTTTTTTGTCATTTCAGATGTCCTGATAGTCAGTGACTTAATTGAGAGAAGCAAAGAAAGTCATGGTAGATACTTGTGGCAAGGTGTAATCATCAATGGCAATCAATCAACTGAGAAGAGAGTGGAGTTAGGAAAATCACTTAATTTGAGTTCAAAGCATATTTTAAATTTGGTTATAAATAATGGAAACTATTCAGGAGTGGGGCATGAGGAGTTTAACATATGCCAGAATGCACTTCTTCCAGAGACTGATACCATGCATGCTGAAGAGAAACCTGATGAGCTTAATATATCCGAGAAATTACAGAGACATCATGAGCATCTTAGTCAACATCCCAAGATTCCAACTGGGGAACCTTTTGAATATAGTGGAAAAGGAAGATCCTCCAACACAGTGCCAATAATATTTACATGTAAGAAGGTTCATATGGGTGAGACCACCTGTAAATATAGTGAATATGGGAAAGTCTGTAATAAGTCAGCTGTCATTGCCCAAGAGATAACTCAGGTAGAGAAAAAAACTTTTCAATGTGATGTATGTGAGAAAATGTTCTATAAAAAGGCTAAACTTACTCAACACCAGATTATACACACAGGTGAGAAACATGATAAATACAGTGAATGTCAGACATCTTTTATTAAGAAATCATACCTTATCTCATATCAGGAAACATCTACAGGGAAGCAGTTTTATCCATGTAATGAACAGGAGAAATTTTTGTATCAAAAGTCAGACTTTACTGTGCATCACAGAATTCCCATAGAGGAAATGTCCTATGGATTTATTAAGTGTGCCAAAAACTTTCATGAGAATTCACTTATCAGCTGTCATCAGGCAATTCACACAAGTGAAAAATCTTGTGAATGTAATGGATGTAAAAAATCTTTCTACCATAATTCTACCCTTACTATATGTCAGAGAGTTGATGTGAGCAAGAATCCATATGAATGTGAAGAAAGTCAGATTTTCTCCAATAAGTCTAAAGTCAAGAAACATGAGAGAATTCACATTGTTGATAAACCCTTTGACTATAACACATGTGAAAAAGTCTTTCACCAGAAATCAAACTTCAGCAAGCATAAGAGAATTTATAAGGAATGTGAAAAAGGTTCCAACCAAAAGTCAAACTGGAAGAAACATCAGAGAATTCACACAGGTGAGAAACCATATGAATGTAAAGAATGTGGGAAAGCTTTTAACCAAAAGTGTGCCCTCAGCAGGCATCAGAGAATTCACACAGGTGAGAAACCATATGAATGTAAAGAATGTGGGAAAGCTTTTAACCAAAAGTGTGCCCTCAGCAGGCATCAGAGAATTCACACAGGTGAGAAACCATATGAATGTAAAGAATGTGGAAAAGCTTTTAACCAAAAGTCAATCCTAAACGTGCATCAGAGAATTCACACAGGTGAAAAACCATATGAATGTAAAGAATGTGGAAAAGCTTTTAACCGAAAGTCACACCTCAGCATTCATCAGAGAATTCACACAGGTGAGAAACCATATGAATGTGTAGAATGTGGAAAAGCTTTTAACCGAAAGTCAGCCTTCAGTGTGCATCAGAGAATTCACACAGGTGAGAAATCATATGAATGTAAAGAATGTGGAAAAGCTTTTAACCAAAAGTCACACCTCAGCATTCATCAGAGAATTCACACAGGTGAGAAACCATTTGAATGTAAAGAATGTGGAGAAACTTTTAACCGAAAGTCAGCCTTCAATGTGCATCAGAGAATTCACACAGGTGAGAAATCATATGAATGTAAAGAATGTGGAAAAGCTTTTTACCAAAAGTCAACCCTCAGCGTACATCAGAGAAATCACACAGGTGAGAAACCATATAAATGTAAAGAATGTGGAAAAGCTTTTAACCGAAAGTCAGCCTTCAATGTGCATCAGAGAATTCACACAGGTGGGAAACCATATGAATGTAAAGAATGTGGAAAAGCTTTTAACCAAAAGTCAACCCTCAGCAGGCATCAGAGAATTCACACAGGTGAGAAACCATTTAAATGTAAAGAATGTGGAAAAGCTTTTACCCGAAAGTCAACCTTCAATGTGCATCAGAGAATTCACACAGGTGGAAAACCATATGAATGTAAAGAATGTGGAAAAGCTTTTAACCAAAAGTCAGCCCTCACTGTGCATCAGAGAATTCACACAGGTGATAAACCATATGAATGTGAAGAATGTGGAAAAGCTTTTAAACAAAAGTCATACCTCAGCATTCATCACAGAATTCACACAGGTGAGAAATCATATGAATGTGAAGAATGTGGAAAAGCTTTTTACCAAAAGTCAGCCCTCAACGTACATCAGAGAAATCACACAGGTGAGAAACCATATGAATGCAATGAATGTGGAAAAGTTTTTAACCAAAAGTCAACCCTCAGTGTGCATCAGAGAATTCACACAGGTGAGAAACCATATGAATGTGAAGAATGTGGAAAAGCTTTTTACCAAAAGTCAACCCTCAGCAGGCATCAGAGAATTCACACAGGTGAGAAACTGTAGGAGCGTAAAGAATGTGGAGAAACTTTTAACCAAAAGTCAATCCTCAATATGCATCAGAGAATTCATACAGGTGAGAAAACATATGAATGTAAAGAATGTGGAAAAGCTTTTTACCAAAAGTCAGCCCTCAGCAGGCATCAGACAATTCACACAGGTGAGAAGCCCTGTGAATGTAATGAAATGAGGAAAAAGTTTTTTTATAGAGTCACAGCTTAGAAGATATCAGGATACTCACACAGGAAAAACTTTTGAATGTGGTATGACAAACTTTTTCCTGGAACTCCTCACAGAAAGGAAAGAATTCACACAAAGGAAAAATCTCAGTAAATGTAATTCGTATGGGAAAAGATTTTGGCCGAAGTCATACCTCAAGATATCAGGGAACTTACTTCAAGAAGACCTATAAATATGAAATTGTCCTCAGGTATTGGAGGTTGTCTTGAGGATACCCTATTGATATAAAAATTTGCTGATGCTCTAGTCCCTTCTATACATGGTGTAGTGTTTGCTTATTACCAATTCACTTTCTGCCATGTACTTTACATCTTGTGTAGATTACTTATAATTCTGGAAGAAATGTGAGTATTATGTAAGTAGTTATTCTGTGTTGTTTTTCAGTTGTGGAATTGTTTCATTTATTTAATGTTTTTATTTATTTCTCAGGATTTTTGATAAGTAGTTGGTTGAATCACCAGATGTGTACCATCAGATATATATGGAGGGCTATAATTGTGAAAACAGTTTTTCTCCAAAGTTTCAAGGCTGGCTATGTTTAGAGCATTGTTGCTTATAGCATTGTGCTCATAACACAAAGGATCCCTATACCAGCCACTCAGCATAAAATAAATAAAAATAAAAAAGGAATCACATCATAGCAGGCAGTAGAGAATTTACACGGGAGAAATTTTGTATGGATTAGACTCTGCTTTTTAAATAAAACCACTCTTTTCTCTCTTATGTGTAGCCTGCAATCTGAGCATTCCATGATTGGGTGGATGACCATGTAATTTAACTCTGTTTGGGGGAATGTAGATATGTGATGAACATTACTTCCAGTTCAGGCACCACAATAAAAAAAAAAGTTTCCATGTAGTTCCTGATTTCTCATTTTCTCTGGGACTGAATGAAGATGACTCAGGTGTAATTGGGGGCCAGAGGTGGGAGAAATCCACCCTAATTTAAAACGGAAGGAATTAAACCAGAGATAGTCTCACTACTATCCCAAAGCCTCCATTAACACATTATATAAGAAATTATTTCCTTGTTGAGCCATTGTATGTGTGCTCTGTTTGCATTACAGCATAACCAGCCCACTCCAGCTAATGATTTTATCAACTTTCTGAGATACGTTACCAGTCCCTGTAAATGGGAAGAGAATCCTGTGTTTTCACCTGTTATACCCAGATCAATGTGTGGAAAAATCAAATTATGGGGAGAAACAATGCAATAAATGTGTAATATCTATCAGGATCTCTCATTGAACAGTGAAAATAAAGTTAAATATCTTTCTGAATCTCTTTAATATGTCAAAGCTTTCAAGAAAACTTTCAACACTTTCTGTCAGAATTTGAAATGAAGAGAAAACTATAAATCTATGTAACAAATGTAAGTTTTCAAATGGAAATGATAAATGGAGTACTAAAAATATTTTTAACATTTTGAATGTTACCAATATTCAAATATGACTGGTGACACTGCCTGCCAGGGGGCATTTGGCTTTGTCTGAAGACATTTTTGGTTGTCATAACTGAAGGTTGGGAAGTGCTACTCCATTGAGTGGGAAGACAGACGTTGCTAAACAGCCTGCAATGCACAAAAATGCCTCCTCACATATGCAACATTTATGAATAAAAATATTTTGTTAAAAATTTGTCTTAATGAAACCCAGTATAACTGTGGGTAGGTAACAGATACACTTAGTATAATAGTTTGATTTGACTTACTTCAGGATTTTTGACATTAACTGCCACTCTATTCTTCAGTATATTTTGTTAAATATATTGTCTAAAAGACTGCACTATACAGATTTGCTCTTACTCTATTTTAGGTAAATTTGTATGACCAGTATTACAAAACTAAGTAAAGGTAATTTTGTGTAATGTTTGAAGCTAATGCAGAGCCAGTCAGTGGGCTGAATAGAAACATTTGTATGGGAATGCACAAGTCAGGCACATTTAAACAACTTGTCTGAAC